TAAGATAGATCCAGCATCCGTATACTTTTCTATAGTATATGCTGGGTTTGGCAGAACGGTGCGAGAGGCAAAATATCGGGGCAACCTGTCCTTCTCTGCGCGCGCATCTTGACAATTTTGACAAAATCAAAATGGCTGCCTACACTAGATAGGGTCTTCCACGATTTTTAAATTTTCACTTTAAATGATAGTTGAAATGCTAAAAACAATTATTTATAATCACAATATGCATTTAAAATAAATAAATATGTTATTTTTATTGTATTAAAAATTAGAAGCATGTTAAACGCAGTTATTTTCGCGCGCCATGATGGCGTCGATGATGTGACGTCATAATTCGGTACAGATTTGATAGCTGCCTTACAAACATTTCAAAATGAGTGAAAACATGCAAAAGATACCGAAAAAACGTTGTTACAAGTGGTATTTCGTAAATTCGAGATGCTGTTATTCTGCCATATCTTAATTTTTTCCACATTGTAGATTGATTTTGATCTGTCGTATCCTTCGCAGGGTGGCACCCAGTTGGACACGAGCCACTCACAGCGCTTGAAACTACAAAGCTCCTAGGCACTGGTCGCTGTGATTGGTGGTGTCCAATCGAGCCGTGATCAATCGGGATCACCCCTCCTTCGCAACATCTTCCAAAGATCGTGTAGCCATTTTGATACTTGCAAAGCTTAAAAAATTATCTGCGTATTAGTATTACATAATCGTAACATTAAAGCATACACTGATAGATCTTTGTTCGATTCGAAATGGTATAAAGTGTCTTGAGAGTTGGCAGTCGAATTTTATCTTTTCCATTTCGTGCAATAGGATCTGCAAAAATCCATCATTGTTTGGAAGGACTGGAACAGGCTTTGATGATAATAAATCTTTTGCTCTCATGCTTTTCACATTAGCTCCAATTTGTGCCAGTCGAGGTTTCTTCCAATAACACACAGTCGCAATCGATTCAAACTCTTCGCTTCGACAATAAACTCACATCAGAAATGCGATGGCATGTTTACGGGGTGATCCCGATTGATCACGGCTCGATTGGACACCACCAATCACAGCGACCGGTGCTTAG